TTCCCATTTTTTTCTTTTCTTTCTTTTTTTTTTTTTTTGAAAGTATTAGTTTGAAGTTGGAATAAAATATAAAAGAGAAAATAGAGCAAATAAAATTAAATTTACTATAAAATGTAAAATAAATAAATAAATAAATAAATAGAGACAGACAGAAAGCAAGAAATCACCCCCCAGGGGGGATGGCCACGCCACAATCCCTTCTCCTCCATTCTTCTCTCGGGATCTTGGGCACGCACGCACACGCACCTGGCGTGAGTTTTAAGCCACTGGGTCTGGGACTTGAACCGCAGTCGACTACATGGGAGTCCAGTGACGTAGCCATTACGCCCACTGCTGGTCCCATGCTACTTTCTTCAGTGGTGTCACCAGTGCCCCTGCTAGTTCTGACCATGCAAGCTCGGGATACTCCCGTTTGGTAACCAACAAATTTCTGTATGATGTGCAGATCACTTGAAAAGCCGTGCAGTGATTAGATGTACATCATAAAAAGAAGAGTCATTAGGATCCAGTTAGGGAGTTAAGACAAGAGAAAAAACAGTAACAAAAAGCAAATGGCTGCTCACATCTGCCTCTCATCCTTCTGGCTGGATCGAACTGAGCCAGCTCCTTCTCCACATAGTACAGCACCTTCATGGAGTCTCTCTCTTTGTCTGCTTGAATCCGGTACCCTTTACGAACTGTCGAGAAAAGCACAAGGTGGTGAGCTGGGACAGGGAAATGTCGGGAGGGGGAGGGCGCCATCCGTTTCACCGTCAGAGAAGATAATCGCCAATCACAACAGCTCTTTTTGCAGTCACCAGAACTGATCATCTGCATTACACACAGGGGACCGTACTAAGATCCCCTGTATCAGACGGTACTTTAGAAATGCAGGACCTAGCAGCTGACAACAAAATGCCATGACAGTGTATTATAGGCATCGGTTAATCTCTGCTTCCGGTCTTCCTATGGTTCCACTTAACGCTCATCCTTTCAAAGCTTTTGCTTTCCACTAGGGGTGAATATGTACACTAAGAAAGACCCCTTTCCAGGTTAAGGACATATGTCACTCTATGGCCTGAGGATCACTTCAAAACAGACACCCAAACATCGGAGACCTTGACAAAGGTGGCCTGAAAGTCTCTAGTGGCCTGGAAGATGATGCAAAAGTTCTAAACTGGACGGTGCCTAAGAGCTAATACTGGATTCTAGACCATAATCCACAGTAATACCAATGAGATGCAGAACGCATGCTTTCTAATCATGGTTCCTCTTTATTTCTTTAGCATTTTTCTTTTAGGAAAAGGAGTACTATATTTTAGACATTACTTCAACCCGCTGCCATGTGGTTACAAACAGGTGTGATTTTCAGGTCTTAACAAAAACCAAAACTAAAGCTGGAGAGATAAACCATCTCCTACATTGCCATCACTCATACTGTCAGGGACAGAGGCTATTCACACCCGGCATCACTCAAGCATCTTGCCTAACACCAGCCCCCAGAAGGATCAGACACCAGCAGGCCTAGAGCACAGAAAAGAGAAAGTGGAAAAAAAACAGACAGAATAATGAGATGGAGACAGAACAATACTGATAACTAGGCGACACTTTCTGGGCACTGAAATGTGCTAGGGACTGTGCTAAATGCTTTACAGGGACAACCACCCAAGGAAGTACCATCAGCTGCATTTTATGGTTGAGAAAACTTCGGCTTAGCAGCCAGGATTAATTAATTGGTCAACACCAGGGCTAGAACCATGGAGTCCGACTGAAACTGAACAGAATCAGGGCATCCTGCCTCTCTGAAGTCTAGGAGAAGCAGCAGTGAGGAGAGGGAGACTGGGAAGACTGGAAAGGAACACCCAGAGTAGGAGAAGCTCTCAGGTGTAACCTGTGTCGTACGGTCTGGGCATGGTTCTGTCTCTCGGCTTGTCAGGACAGTACAGTGGGATGGAGGTGAAGGGCCTCACTCCGCACTGTTCCCAGGGTAGGGCTGAAATCACAGAGAAGCCACAGGAATGCGAGTACCTACAAAGATGACCCAGCTGTTGCATCCCTGGTCATGTCACCCTAGCTGTGGACAACTCCCCCAACTCCATACACAAGCTATTTCCATGGAAGATTAAATATAAGATTCCACAGGAGTCTAATTGCAGCCCAGGCAGTGAAGACAGAAGCCGCCCACACACCCATTTGCAGGTGCACTGATTTTCTTCTCTGGGGGAACGGAGCTGTCCACATTCATCTCAAATGGCAGAACTATTTAGGAAGAAACTAATGAATCTCAGCACTTGCTTGCTAGCGGCACCTTCTTCTGGAGGTTAGATCCGTAATCCTTACATGGAAGCAATTATTAGCAGAAATGATTTTATTTATCAAGCTACACGTTCTCCTATCTCTGCAGAGGCGTTTATAGAGTAGTACAGACAGTTCAATTAAAATGCAATTATCCCACGGAACTGCTCTGTCTGTTCTTTGGCAGTTATGCCGGGTGGATGAGGCATGGGTTGGGAAGGAGGAACTGGGCACCTCAGGCTTGCTGCACTGCTTTATCAACGGACCCCACTTCCTTTTTAAAATGAACACACAATAATGGTATTGGATTGTCTGGAAAGTCATGGCACATTTTTGCATAGAAAAATACATCGTGACTTGCCCGACAACCTAATGCCTATGTGTGGGGTGCAGTGTGAGTTTTCAGTACATGAGTACAACGGCAGTGATCGGATCTGGGTAATTAGTGTACCCAACAACTCAACCAGTTGTCATGACTTTGTGCTGGGACAGACTCGGTTTTCACGTCTAAAAGTAAAGAAGAAAAGACATCTACGACCAGATCAATGCAGGACTTCAAGGGTTTTGCAATGAGGGGCAGCTCAAATGCCACCTCATGCACCGGGCTTTCTTTGATTCTGCTAGCTGGTGAAGTTCTGTCTCTCTAACTTACAGATCATATTGTTTGAACTTTTAGTATAACCTTTAGTATGTTCTCATTCATTTCAAGTGATCTGGGTAAATATCTAATCTTGAAGATTCCCGAAGGAAATGAATCCTTGCCATCCTGGCTCTCCCAAGTGCCCAGGACTGCACTTGAGACAGAGTAGGCACTTTGCTGCTTCCTGCTGGGGCAGGAGGGGGTCATGGTTTCTTGGAAAAGAGTATTTTTAGCGGAGTTTTCATTCTCTAGACTGTAAGCTTCCTGAGGACGAGAACTCTGTTCACCTCTGCATCCCCAGCTCCTAGCACAGAGCCAGGCACATTGTAGATGTTCAAAACATGTTTGAATGAATGAATGAAAGAATGAATGAATGAATGGACGGACGGACACTGGGGAACAGAAACTGTATTACAAGGGATTTCAAAGTATGGCAGGTGAGGCCACGTGGATGGTTTATTGGAGACTTTGGGCTGGGAAGGGAAAGGCTTGATTAGTATTCTGAGGAAGCAGCAGGTGTAGGTAAGTATGGGTAATACACTTCTTGGTTCTTTTTTTTTTTTTTTTTGAGAGTTTTTTGCTATAGGGTGCGTGCACTCACCAGACAGACAGACAGACAGAAAGTGAGAAATCAGCTCCCGGGAGGTGGGTGGGGATGGCCACACCACAATCCCTTCTCCTCCATTCTCCTCTCGGGATCTTGGGCACACACGCACATGCGCCCAATGTGAGTTTAAGCCACTGGGTCCGGGACTCCAACCGCGGTCGACTACGTGGGAGTCCAGCGACATAGCCATTAAACTAACTGCTGGTCCTGTTGGTTTTTCTTAAAGTAAAAAAAAAAAACTAGCACATTTGGAGGCATTGGGGAAGGGGCCTGCTCTATCTTCAGCAGTGGCTTTATCAGGGTCTTCTTAATACGTGAAGCCCTGTTTTGTAAACATACGGTCATTCTGAGACAAAGGTCATGGGGATTTGAGGCTGCTGCTCTGTGGGACAGTGTATCAGATGTCCGCTTGCAGTGAGAGACTGCAGCTCCCCTGGGCCACAGCTGGAGGCTTCTCAGTTAATTGCAACTTGGACTGGAACTTAGCTTGTTTTCTGTGTCATTATAACAAATTACAATCCTCATTGTGATACAGATTGCACTGCATATGCATAGGTTACCATGTCCCTGGGTAACCACTTATTGCCTAAATGCAAGCACAGTTCTGCCTCTGGCATCATGAAGAGACTGCATTATTGGAGATTTTCAGCCTGGACTTCTCAGTTGCAGCATCCTCTGACTTCAGACATCAAAATTCCTCTAATTTGTCAAAAAGGACAGAGCAACAAGTTGCTCTTTAGACTTCAGAGACATCATCTGTTTGGTTTAGGCTATTCTCCCTTTAAAAGGGGATGGGCTGTAGGCCAGCAGGTAGCATGGTGCTTGAGGTGCTGGACTCACACATGGCCAACTGCGGTTCAAGTCCTAGACCTGGTGGCTTGCTTTGTCACTTTCCCTCTCTGTCCGTCTCCGATGCACACATGCGCCCTATAGCACATTAAACAATAATAATAATAGATTAAGAATAAAATGGGGAGCTATGACTGTGTGGCAGGCTAAGCCCTTCTGTTATGCTGATAGACTGGCTGTCACTTACGTGCTCAAACACCAGAAACCTTTCCTTGACTCTCCCTCTCCAAGGATGGGGTTTTCCTTTCTGAGCTTCAACATAGAGTGCTTGATCTTACCATATGCCTACATTAACTCATTTTCTTTCTAGTCACAAGCCCCAGTTACCACCCTGCTAGACTGTAAATTCCTTGAGGGCAGGGAAAATTTGTAGGCAATCGTTAAATTGTTCTTGATTTGAAAACAAATAGAATGGCACCCATTTGTTTTTTTTTGTCAGAAATTTGTCTGAAGATCAGAGAACTCTCTGATGTGTGCTGATATTCTAATAAGAAATGTCCCTGGGACCAGCCATTGGCATAATGGCTATGTTGCTGGACTCCCATGTAGTCGACCGCGGTTCGAGTTCTGGACCCAGTGGCTTAAACTCACGCCGGGTGCATGTGCGTGCGTGCCCAAGATCCCGAGAGAGGAGAATGGAGGAGAAGGACTGCGGCGTGGCCATCCCTTCTGGGGGGTGATTTCTCACTTTCTGTCTCTCGCTGTCTTTCTGGCCAGCGTACATGTCCTATAGTAAAAATCTCTTCAAAAAAATAAATAGTAAGAAATGTCCTAAACTGTTGGCCAACGTGTTTGGAAAATGACTTTTTTTCCTAGTGGGGTTTCAGACTGGGGTTGATGGATAATTTTATGCTTCCAAGTCGAGCCTGGCCCAGGCCCTCTGGTCGGTGTGGCTCGTCACACCTTCAGCACACTCGATGTACTGGCCTCACCGACTTTGAGTTTTCTGCCAAGAATTGTGGGATCTTTGCTTTGATGCCAAACTGTGATTTCAGAACCTTGGATTGCTAAAAGATTTAAGCTGATCTATTCTAAATTTTTTTCAGAAGACATGCACATTCCCCAGAGAGACAGAGGGAGAAAGCACCCCCTGTTGGGGCATGGTCATGCTCCAGTCCCTTCTCCTCCACTTCTGCACCCCGTGGGGGTTAGGGGCACATGTGCCCAGCGTGTTTTTCAATTTGCCAGGTTTGGGATTCAGACCACACAGTGGCCATGTGGGATTCGGCTCCTTTAACCAACCAGACCATAGGGGCCGATCCTAAGCTGATACTTTTGACCTAGATAATTTCAGCTAATTTCTCTTT